GGTTCTGATGCGTACTACATATATTGTGCCATTATCCGTCCATTTTCGTGTCCTTATTCGTGCATCATCTTAATATAGTCGCTCGTCCGTTTTGAGTCAGTGGTTTTTGCCAATAGTAGTTCAATCCTTTGTCCGTTGGCGTTGCTTGGGTCAATATTGGGTCATATATCAAATTTGGTTGATCAATCCTGTCTCCCGCAGAAATGAGAAGAGCGCTGTGGTGCTAGAGGGGTCATATCTCAGAGTGTCCCTGACGCTTGCTGAGATCCCGTATTGGATGCGTGGTCCATAGTACTGGGGGCAGTTGCATAGGAAATGTTCCACTGTATGTGGCACATTGCAAGTCTCGCATTGCTTCCTAAATGGACCTCCGCCTCCCATGTTATGAGAGGCTTTGGTATGACCGGTTCTCAGCCGCGATAAAATTACTTGAGATCGGTGTTCAGGCGGATCATCCCATCTTCTGGTATCCCCTTTAATTTTCCGGATAAACAGATCTTGAGATCGCAGCCATTCATTTGTCCACCAATTCCATACTGTAGTCACGATCCACCGCTTGATGTCTTGAGCAGGGACCTTTTGGGTATAGAGGTTTGCCTGTCTTCCGGATGCCGCCAGATGATCCGCTTCCTCATTTCCTCTGATCCCGCAGTGTCCTGGGATCCAGATGAAAGTTGTTCCTTTATGAGCGAGCTCCTGGATAGCCTGGATCCAAGGGTGCTTGGCTGTATCGGACTGAAGAGCTGTTAATACGCTGGCTGAATCAGAAAATATGGCGACAGGTTTGTTGGTAGGCGAGGTGGCGGCAGCTTCAGCAGAGAAAACGCTGCAAGGGTCCAGAAGTCGGTAGAAGGTGCGTAGCTCCGGATCGGATATCCCAATGCCTACCCTTCCGCCTGTTCGAGATCCGTCAGTGTATCTTGCTAGGTGATTTGGGTACTTGGTTCGTTGTAGTTCGGCCACCGATCTTACTAGTGCGGGGGAGTTGGTTCCCGCCCGGAATCTGTTCTTTATCGCCAAGTCGATAGAAAGTCCGGGTGAGTTCCAACCCCTGGCTCCACACCAGTGGACCCTGGCTACCGGGGGGAGTTCCAGGTCGGCGGCGTCCTTCAGGAGTTTGTTCGCCTCCATAAGGAGGGACACTCCATCACTTGTTCCAGTTGTCTTATCTGCGAAGCAAACTGCCCTCTTGCAAACAGTAGCAACGATAAATTTGTCGAAGGGTAACCTTCCACTCTCCACACAAGCTGGGGGTGGAGGGGAGGAGACCTGATGTGATTCGAATGGCCTGATAATATACCGGGGGCAGTTGGGAAATCATCCTGTCGGCAGCTAGGCAAGTCAGTTCTATACCGTATGTTAATCTTGAATCGACTACCGCTTTAGCCACGCGCATCCGGACACGGCTAATGTCCGCATCAAGCCGATTCTTGTTTGGCAATTCCCTTTCACTTCGTTGAAATGGTCTCCAAAGTTTAAATGCCGATCCAGGCGTATGCCGAGGACGCGGATAGACTTCTTAAACGGCATGATCCTTCCGTCGACGCTGATAGGAGAGCGGAGCACCTGGTGATAGAACGGACAAATGTGGGTATATGCGCATTTCTCCACCGATAGGTGGAATCCGACGGATTTAGTCCAGCGTAGAACTGCATTCGTGGCCGCGTTGAGTTTTCTGCGAAGGGCCTTCACTGTGGATCCGACCGCCACCAAGACGATATCGTCTGTGGAACACTCCGTTCATCCGTATTAGAAACAGCGTGACTGCGATCACCAAACCTTGCGGAACGCCAGTCTCCTCTGGGAATCCTCTTGATCTCTGGTTTCCGATGCATACCTGGAAAGTACGGTGTCGGAGGAAGTTTTTCAAAAAATGGAGAACGTGGCCCGACAGACCCCAGTCCGTGAGTTGAGCAAGAATGTCGGGTGTCCATGTCCTGTTATAAGCCTTAGAGATGTCTAGCGTAGCGAGTTCAGCATGCTGGTCAGAATCTCTCGCGTCTCGAAGTACCTGGTTCAAAGTGGCGAAGTAGATCCCGGCTCCGTGTCCAGGACGGAAAGCGTGCTGGCGGTGGTCAATGTAGCCGTTACTCTCCAAGTAGAGCACGAGTCTACGGTTGACCATTCTCTCCAGCACCTTACTGACGCAACATGTCAAAGATATCGGTCGGAAGGCCTTCGGTTCGCGATCCGAGGTGCCCTGCTTCGGGATCGGGACGACTAGGCTGTGTCATTAATTTCACTGTATTTTCCCATCAGAACACTACGCTGAATAAATACAAACGAGTCGCCAGTCTTTCAGCTTCAATCTGATTACAATTTTACGACTGAACAAACAGGTTGTAACTGGTCGTTTTTCCCGGCAGTAGCAAGAGACCCCTCGAGCTGGGTCTCAGGATCGGCTTACTACTTGGTAATCACGAGGAACTTCGCGGACAAAATGTGCAGCGTACGGTCACCTGACTAGAAATACTGTGTAGTGTGAATTTATTGATTTAAAGATTTACTTTGACTTTGTGGGTTTTTATTTAACAATGTGTTGGTGGGATTGGGTTAGATTTCTGTAGTGTATTTTTCTGTTTGTGGGTGTGGATAAAATTAACTGTGTTCTTCGGTACGTACCACTGCTTATTCTGGCGATATGGCGACGTCCTGCGAGCGCTCGCTGCTGCTACTGCTGCTGACGACGAGCTGGCAAGCTGAAACAGTGGGTAATTACTGTTTAACCGCACGATGGTTTGGCGGGGTTTGTCAATGGTATGTGGCTGTGTAAGCCTTTCAGGCGTCCTCCCTCGTTGACGGAGATTAACACGGCCCAGGACGATACCAGAGTGACCGTGTCAAGAGGGGGTCCTTTGCGGTTAGACGTAGCAAACCGAGGTCTACTACGCCGAATCGTGTGCACCTGCTCGAGCTTCCCACCAGACAAAATGGCGACTTTCAGTCGAATTAACACAATACAAAAAGGTCCTGTGAGGGTAGGTAATGGGAGGTATTAGAGAAGCCGTACTAATCTTCTAGTCATTAGTAGTGAGCTAGATTTAGTTAGTTTTTAAGCGTAGGATAGGTCACGCCGTCTTCTCCCTTTATGGCTGGAAACCACTCACTTAGCAATGTGAAGGACACTTTATAATATGGTTCTTGTGCACACGAACGCCTGTAACTTTATGAGCAATGGCGCTCTTCCTTATTCTCTTCAACCCCGTTGTAGCTTCTTTGTTGCTGTCTGTGAGGTTTAGGGGGGGGGGGGAGGAGTTGTTATCACACCACCTTTGTAAATGTTGACCCACTTCGCCTGCTGGTCTACTCTTCTATCCTTTATTTGTTGTACCCACTGGCTTGCATGCGATTCACCCCACTTATTTTGTACAAAATTCAAATTCTACTAACCTATAACATTTAACTTAACTCTAGAGACGTGACTGTACACAAAATCAAAGCACAAATAAAAAAATACTAACAATTTGCAACAGTCGGTTACAAGGTTGTCAGGTTTTTCTTTAAATGAAACATACGCATTACAAAATTTGGCTGATTTCGAGTTGCCGGTTATAGAACAGCTGGTTAACACGCAGTTCCAATGGAAGGGTTGCCGAAGAAAATGGAGCTGCCGACAATAGTCACACGGAGAAGTTCAGAGCGTTGTAAAAACGCTTTCGAAGAATTTTGAACAACTCTATCGATTGGAATGCCTTAGAGAAGTAAGCAGCAGATAAATGTAAACAAACAAACACGTCATATGTGTGCGTGACACTGAGAAAATGCTAATAGAAGTGCGGACGCTGCTTAGATTGACGAGAATACGTAAATTCCCCTAATAGAACAGTCCTGAAGCGCCAACAAAAACTCACACAGAGAGAGAGAGAGAGAGAGCGATAGTCACTTCTACTCAGTTGTATGATAAATTTGAGGATAAATTTCTAAAAACTGCAAGTACTTAGCGCTGAGTTCCTGCAGTTTTTAGAATTTCGTCTATACCTTTGAGCTAAGAGGAAGAGGTGACAATTGGCTTCTTACTCTTTAATTTCTATCTCTATCTCTATCTTTATCTATGTCTATCTCTATCTTACGCAAATCAAATCCGCCAATCACGAGCTGGTTCAAGTTTGACAGAAAAGTGGTTCATTTTTGCCCCCGTATTGTCACCTCTTCTCTTAGCCTTTGAGTAGAAGTGATTCTCTCTTCGAGTGGCTGTGTATTAATCGCAACATGCCATTGCAGTTCTTAAATGATTTTAAAGCGCTAATTTATTTAATTGTTGTCTGAATTTCTGCGACCCATGAATTGAGAAACACTGTTCTAATTCATCTCCTTACAATATCAACCCATAATGTCAATCGTATCCAAGATGGTTATATTTTAATAAAATATTGTCGTATTATTTTTCGGGTGATTGCAATACTACAGCTCAATAAGAATTGTTTTCTACCCACTGACAGGTCTTCTGCTCGATTGGCTGCACTTATGTGACAGTTCAATTGGCTGCAGATACGACTTCTTGCTGCTCTCTTTTAATTAGCGGATTGCTACTCCGGTAACTGGAAAAACAAACATTATTCAGTTACTGAAAGTTGAATGGATACATATTTGGAACCTTATTTTGAATGGGATAGACATTGGATTTTTAAAATTAAATCTTCAATTTAAGATGTTGAATGTCGTTTGATTTCAAAACTTTGTTGATTTTGATGGGGAAAATGTCGGCTTTGGCAATGCCTTAACCTATTATCGTCAGGGGGTGAACAAAGTCCTAGAGCACTCAAATTCGGCCAATAGATGCTCTGAAACACAATGTATCCACATGCCAAAATTGAACTCTCAAGGATGTTGTTTACCCCCTGACGATAATAGAATAAGGTGTTGCCGAAGCCGTCATTTACCCATTGCTTTTTAAATCGAATTGTTCATGTGCTCGTGCATCGAACATCTTCCAACAAACCGCCGCGACAAAAAAACAAATCCTAATTAGGCATCCATCGTCAAAATGCAGCACTACTCACCTTTCTTGCCAGGAGTACGTCAGCACAAGCCAGCCATATTTTTTCTTCTACTTGCTTCCTTACTGCTCCTGCTGGCTTGCTTCGATGCCTCTTTTCCTCGCAGCCTGGTTCGGAGTTTGTTGCCCAGATCACTCTTCTAAGCACAAGCAAAGCAAGCTGTTGTTGTTGCGGTCTGGAACTTGGAACCTATACACAGCCTACCTTGTTTCTTCTTTCGCTTTGCTTCTCTCACTCACTCACTCACTTTGCTGCTGCTTGCCTTAAACCCTTTCGCGCAGATTCCAGACACGGATCAGATCTCTTCCTTTTTATTTTTTTATTCGAACTTGGCACTAATTTCACTCCCTTAATTCGCGTCCATCATCTTCACCGCTGGCTTCTCCAGGTAGAAAACTTTGGGCAAGTCCCATTTCCTGGAACGTGGGGCTTCTTTCCGAACAAACTTGCAACAGCTGGCAGTCAGATCTGAGGTAGCCGCCGTAGACAACAACTGGTGCCGCTCTCAAAAAATCTTCCAAACTTTCTCCCTCGGGCGCGGTGCTGCTGATGCTGCGATCGATCGGGTGAGTGCTAATCGGCTAAACCATGGGCACACATTCAGCAATCAATTAGCATTCGGTTGCTACTCAGCTCTACTCACTGGATAACCAATGTCCATCCATCCATCCACATACATACAAGACAAAAAGCCCTTAGCCGGAGTGGCCTTTTTATCACCCTGCTATTGATCACCCTGCTATGATATGTTGATGGTGGTAGTTCAATGCATCTCCCGTCCGTCACACACGCCCTTCGGTTTCGTAAAAAAAACGGTAGCAAAACGACGACGGCACACGGGGTCGCGTGTTTCAACGACACGCACAAACACAGAGACAGAAGAGGAAAACGATCACGACTTTTGTGCACAACGCAGCAACAATGGGGGTCAGATCGCGTAGTAGTAGTAGGCTTTGATGATCGATGCCAACAACCGATTGCTATGTTCGGTCGTCACCAATGGCAACCCGAGCAAAGGGTCCCAAGCTGACCCCTGGAATGGGAGTGGACAGCTATCGAAACTCACAGAACATCTGCACTTTTCGAGATCTCTGATGCACGTAACTTGATCCTTTTTCAGGGGTCCCGTTTGCACACAAAAAAAAATGAATTCCTGCTTCGTTCTGCACTCTTCTCTCCGCGATACAGATGCAGAGACAAAAACCGCGCGCGACGCCGCCAGAAAGAAACCGAAACGGGAGAAAACTTTCTGATCCTAAACGGTGAAGCTTCGAAAAGCAACTGACCCGACGAACGAACCTCTTGAAGAGATATGCTGCGCTGCTTCTCCAGAACTTCCACCCAGTTCACAGTGCGGTAAAAAGAGCAACAGGATCGAGCTTGCCTTTGCTCTCATCGGCTCCTCGCCGGCGAGCCTTCTTTTAGCTAAAGCGAGATGGAGAATAACGATCGCGACGCGGACGACCGCAGAAGATCGTTCTTGTTCTTTTTCTTGTCCTTCATCGTTGCACACTCGACGACTCGACTCGATCGCGATTTGTTTACCCCGCTTCGTTTGTGTGTTCCTCTCTTTTCAGGTTTGGCCCTTTTATCTTCTTTCTTTATTCCTTTCATTTCGAGTCGTGATAAGCACAAAAGAGACGAAAGATAAATAGTGCGCCTTCTTCTTCTTCGGCGGTTCCAAAAACGCAGTAGGCTTGATCCAAAAAAAGAATGACCATCGAAGCATGCCCTTTTTATGTTTTTTTTTTCGTTATCCCTATTTTGCAGGTCGATTTTGTATGAGTGCTGTGCGCTCGTTTTTGTACCAAAAGTGACACATGCGACAATTGAATGTCCCTGTGAATGCACTCTTTATTAGGGTTTGCGTTCTTTTGTGGTAAATTTTCAGTTTTATGTATGCCATCTTTATTATTTTGATGGTCGATGAGAGCTCATGAGGTGCATTCTAATTTTGTTTTGTTTGCGGTTTTTGCCGTCTGGCCAATTCTGATACTGACGATGAATGTGCAGGTGAAAGAAATGAAAGGCACGAGCGGTCGTGGTGGTGGACCGTTTGTGCCGTTGTGGGGTGATGGATGACTAGTGTCGGCGTCCGTCAGGCCAGCATTAGTAGTAGTAGTAGTAGTGGCCGTTCGACAACAGGTTGACCGTTGTGCAACTGGATTTCCCGGAAAGATTTCGTTTAATTTTGTTGGAGGAATTTTTGGTACCTACACGCAGAGAAAAAATAAAGTAAGTATAAACAAATTTCAGTTTAACTCAACACATTTTCCAGTTTACTATAGCGACAAACAAGCTCAATAATTCTTGGCTAAAACAAATAGATAATTCAGGTTATTTTTTTCTTTATTAAAGTGATTTTCAGTCTCAGGTTTTTGAACTATATGCTTTTGTTTGAAACAACCAATTTGTTTAGCTCCTGTCATTTTTGAATTCATTGTATAATCACAGAAATAACACATTGAATATTTCTCACTGTAAAACATCTTTGCTATCTGTTGAGTACACTGTGGTGGGCAGTACCCTGAACAGATGGCGGTAGTGTGTAAACGTCAAACGCAAGGGAATTGACAAGACCAATATTTCAAAGTCGGGCAAAATTGGGCCAACAAAACTAATTGCATTTGAAAGACGAACTAAAGCGCTTACTTACCTTACCAATCAGACTAAGGCCTCGTTGTCCTCTGCTGTCCGAAGAAGTCGTCTCCACTCTACTCGATCCATGGCCACACTTTGTCAGCTTCGTAGTCTGCGAAGGGTCCGCAGGTCACTTTCTACTTGGTCGATCCACCTTGCCCGCTGCGCGCCTCTTCTCTTGCTCCTGTTGGGTCGCTTTCGAGATTGGAATTCTTACGACGTGCCCAGCCCACCGTAGTCGCCCATTTTTTGCAATGTGATGGTTCTCCCAGCAGCTGGTGCAATTCGTGGTTCTTTCGCCTGATCCACGTTCCGTCATCCATCTGCCCTCCACCGTAAATGGTACGCAACACCTTCCGTTCGAAAAAAAAAAACCAAGGGCGTGAACATAGTCCAGCTCTCTTGGCTGTAGAGGACCACCGGTCTAATCAGTGTCTTGTAGGCAGTCACCTTCGTGCGGCGGCGAATTTTATTCGACCGGAACGTCCTCCGGAGTCCAAAGTAGGCACGATTCCCTGCCACAATGCGTCTTTGAATTTCTCTGCTGGTATCATTTTCGGCGGTCACCAGTGAGCCCAAATACACGATTACGTTACCGTCAATCTGAACTCGGGGTGGGAGGCTAACATTGTCTTCCCTAGAACCTCTTCCTTTCATGTATTTTGTCTTTGATGAGTTGATGGCAAGTCCAATCCGCCTAGCTTCAGCCTTCAGTCTGATGTACGTTCCCGCCATCGTCTCAAAGTTCCGTGCCATGATGTCGATGTCATCGGCGAGGCCAAGAAGCCTGATGGACTTCCTGAAGATCGTGCCACTCGTGTCTATCCCAGCTCTTCTGATCACACCTTCTAACGCGATGTTGAATAGCAGACACGAAAGTCCATCACCTTGCCGTAGCCTCCTTCGAGATTCAAAGGGACTCGAGAGTGTCCCCGATACTCGAACATCGCACATCACTCGATCCATCGTCACCTTGATCAATCGCGTCAGTTTATCCGGAAATCCGTACTCGTGCATAATCTGTCATAGCTGATCTCGATGTCTGAGGCCATTTTTAAATTCAAGATGGCGGCTTCCTGTTGGAGAAAAACTTGAAAATTATGTCAAATACCACTCAATATAGGTATTTTTGGAATCTTGGTGAAGTGTAAGAACTGGAAACTCATGTCTGACATCATTTTGAATTCAATATGCCAGCTTCCGGTTAGATAAAAGCTGGGAAATACTGCCAAATTACCCAAAATCTGGGTATTTTGGAGTCTTGTTGACGGGTAGGGCCCGGACATCGATGTCTGACACCTTTTTGAAATTCAATATGGCGGCTTCCGGTTAGAGAAAAACTGCCAAATTACCCACAGTATGGGTATTTTTAAAATCTTGGTGACGTGTAGGGACCGGACGTCTTTTTCAATTCAATATGGCGGCTTCCGGTTGGAGAAAAGCTTGGAAATTTTGTCAAATATCCCACAATATTGGTATTTTTGGAGTCTTGATGACGTGTAAGGGCCCGAAATCGATGTCAGCGGCCATTTTTAAATTCAAGATGGCGGCTTTCGGTTGGAGAAAAACATGAAAATTATGTCAAATACCACTCAATGCGGGTATTTTCGGAATCTTGGTGAAGTGTAAGAACTGAAAACTCATGTCTGACACCTTTTTGAATTCAATTTGCCAGCTTCCGGTTAGATAAAAGCTGGGAAATACTGCCAAATTACCCACAATATTGGTATTTTTGGAGTCTTGATGACGGGTAGGGACCGGAAATCGATGTATGAGGCCGTTTTGAAATTCAAGATGGCGGCTTCCGGCTAGAGAAAAACTTGTAAATTCTGTCAAATACCTCACAATATTGGTATGTTTAGAGTCAGGATGACGTGTAAGGACCTGAGATCGATGTCAGGATGTCTGAGGCCATTTTAAAATTCAATATAGCGGCTTCCGGTTCGAGAAAAACTAGGAAATTCTGTCATATTCCTCTCAATATGGGTATTTTTGGAATCATGGTAACGTGTAGAGACTTGAAACCCGTGTCTCAACAAATCTCACACTAGCGAATCAATCTTCGAAAAATCTTCTTTAATTTGTCGCATCTACTTGCATCGCTCATCATCTTTTTTGTATGAAATCTTCAAAATCGTCATCAATCTTCTTTCTATCTACTCAGCGTGCACGCAGCTAGCTACAGCAAAACACAATCTTTTTTGCATCGTAGATAGAGTCGTCCCTCTCGTGTCTGACACTATTTTGAATTCAATATGGCGGCTTCCAGTTGGAGAAAAACTGGGAAATACTGTAAAATTATCCACAATATGGGTATTTTTGGAATCAAGGTGACGTGTAGGGACCGGAAACCCATGTCTGACGCCATATTAATTACATATGGCGGCTTGCGGTTAGAGAAAAACTGGGAAATTCTGCCAAATTCCCCTCAATATGGGTATTTTTGAAATCGTGGTGACGTATAGGGACTAAAAACCTTGCCTGACGCCATTTTTAAATTAAATATGACGACTTCCGGTTAGAGAAAAACTGGGATATACTGCCAAATTAGACACAATATGGGTATTTTTGAAATTCAATATGGCGGCTTCCTGTTGGCGAAAACTTGGAAATTCTGTCAAATACCTCTTACTTGTTGTGATTCGAGAATTGCAACAATGCTTCGAGAATACTTTTGGTTTTAAAGTTGATTTTATTGAAACTCAATACGTCAGGTTATCTTACGAAGACATGGTACAATATCGATAGTTCATTATTTACATAGTTCATTTCTGCTTCACATTCTCACACTCCCTATCTCCCTATTGCCTATATATGAGATAGCACACATTCAAATACTACTAGCAAGTTTGTATGCAAGAGCCAAAGCTTCTAGCTGACCACTATAGCTTCTCCATTCAATATTGCATACAATACCATATGCGAATAACAGTTACGGCTCGCATCTATCATGTTTACACTGACAATTGTCATCCGATGTGTCAGTACCGATCTATCAGTTGAATGGTAAATTGTTATTATTTACTCCACAAGACGATGGTGATAATATCACCGCAGTTTGTTTCTCAACATTACTATGGGTATTTTTGAAAACGGGGTGCCGTATATCGACCGAAATCCAAGCCCAGCGCCATTTTGATATCCAAGATGGCAGCTTCCGGTTAAATAAAAACTGGGATATTCCGTCAAATACACCGCCTTATGAGTATTTCAGAAATCTTGGTGACGTGTTGGGATCGGAAATCGATGTCTCACACCTTTTTTGAAATTCCAGTTACAGAAAAATTGAAAACTACTATCAAATACCCCTCAATATGGGTATTTTTGCTTGTGATGATGTGTAGAGACATTTTCAATTCAATATGGTGGTTTCTGTTCGAGAAAAACTTGGGAATTCTGTCCAATTGAGGGGTAAATATGGGTATTTTTGGAATCGGAGTGACGTGTAAGGACGGAAAACCCATCCGTATTTTTCTATTTTTCTGTATTCGGAAGCCACCAAATTGGATTTCAAAAAGGCGTCAGACATTGCTTTCCGGGCTCTACACGTCACCTCGATTCCAAAAATATCCATATTGCGGTGTATTTGACAGTGTTTCCAAGTTTTTC